TTCGAATTTTCTAGTGGCTTCGCGTTCATCTCAACATAACACTCTGGATGGAAGTATTAGAGCCACGGATAAACGCATTGCTAAATTGTCTCGCGACCTGGCAGCTTTGTCTTCATATTAGTCGTCCACCACAGTCCACGTTCTACGCGTCCCGTGTGTAGCCGCCCATAGTATTTCCCTCTCGAGCAGCGTGGGATCCGTCGCGTGCATTATGGCTCAATTTCTTTTCTCAGTTGTTTACTCAGCTGTTTCCTGGGATAGCTAGGTTTTCCTGTCCGTTGATTCTTTGTATGAAATTGAATTTTGGTCTAACAATGTTAGCCTCTACGGCAAAATTTATCGAGGGGTTCCAGTTCGCTTCCAGTAAGAGTAAGCTCCGGCTTCCCCGATGCTTCCGATTCAGCCTGCGGCGTTTAAGTGGAGTCTGAACCTGAGTTGATTTTTTATCAGAATTGGTTGGAAAGTGTTCGTAGATCGACTTGAAGAGAGCTCAAAGCAGTTTGTCTTGCCTTACTAGCCTTCGCGAGCCCTTCATCTAATTCCAAGGTTTTTTGGTATTCTGACAACCAGAACGTCGAATCCATTCTTCGCGACGGCAGCAGGAAATGCGATCTCAAGGATTTAGCCCTAGTTGTTTTTGAAAATTGCTCCCATCATTGTATTTCGTTGGAGGTCAAGTGGATCCCTAGGGACCTGAACGCTAGTGCGGTCTGTATCTGCAAGCTCGTTGACTTCGATGGTTACGGCCTCAACGATTTTGTTTTGCTAGGGCTAAATCACCTCTTAGGTTCTTACATTATTGACAGGTTCGCCTGTAGTTACAACGGTCAGTTGCCTTGGCTTAACTCTCTATTTTTTCAGCCAGGCTGTTAGGCTTTTTATGCCTTCGCTCAAAATTGGGGATAGGACAACGACTGGCTTGGCCCACCTGTTTGCCTCATTGTCAGAGTCATGTATATCAGACACCTTGGGCTCTGCCGCGCTCACGGGAGCCCTTATTCCTCACGTATGGAAGTCAGCTATTTTCTGAAATGTTTCTACTAGAGATGGAGTGCATTGGAATAGTTTTGTTGTGGACTGGGTTTTATTGCTTAAGTTCCAGGGATTATTTGTTCCAGGGAAGGTCCGTAATTCCCTTTTCAGAACCAGGCCTTTATTTTTTAGCGTCATAGCACTTCGAGTTTATTTTCGGCGCCCCACACCTCCCTCGTCCCTGGCGGGCTTCTGCTCTACGCCGCCTGACGGAAAGTGTTGCCTGTGCCTCTACACGCGTGTTATGCGTACCTTTAGGTTTGGACCCATTAGGTTTTTGCATGTAGCCTTTGTAGGGTTGGTTCTCGCCAAGCCGTCCCAAAATAAACTTATTTGCCATTACGTTTTGTCTGTTGATGTTGTGTAGTGGAGTCAAAATATGTTATTTCTGACGAATGAGCCCGCGAAGGCAGAAATAAATATTTTGACGGCACGAGATACAACAGGGCCTGGGTACTAGGCCGGGTGCACCATGGGTAGCCATATCGGGGGTATATAAGGCTGCGTATATCACGTGTTCATCATCTAGGCTTACGAACCAACCTCTCCTTGGTTTTTCTTAAATTTTTGTTTTATTTATTTTTAGGAGCAACATATTCTCGATTACATTGTAAAGTCCCGTAGGAAGGGCTTTGAGCTTGAGCCTTGGTTCCTACCCAGATTTCCTGCCCGCATTTTTTTTTCCTTCGAGGTTTTTTTTTTTTTTTTGGGCAGGTTTTTTCTGGCCTCCGCCTGACCGCATTTACTTCAGTTTGTAAGCGGTAGCTCAGCTCTGCTAGTTTTCAGCCTTTTTCCTGTTTCTTATTTTATGTACTTGTACACTAGTTATCTCAGTTTTGCACCTGCTCCTTTACTTGATATATTTAGTTTTCATGTATGCTTAGGTCAGCTGTCCCGGAACCGCTCTTTGGGAGGCGACGTAAGTCTCGTTTGACGCAGTTAGGTTGCAGGCAATGTTACAGACCTCTAGCCAGGGTCGTTATTCATTGTTTACCCTCAATGTCCCGCCCTAGCCTTTTATGGCAGCCTTACTGGTTATTGGGCTACGTGCCTTGTTGGGTACATTAGTGGAGATAATTCCCAGTTTTCCCGGCACTCAGCCTCTGTGCTCCTGAAGTGTTCCCGGTCCCAGTTATACGTTGATCACAGTTTTATTAAATTTCCCCAGCCTAACTGGCACTAAGCCTGTGTGCTTATTTGGGGGATTCAGGTCAAGATCGACCAGTTGTAGCAGTTTTTTCTTTTTGCTTAGCCTCTGTGCTCGTACCATGTTCCTCGTGCCAGTTATGCGTTGTCTGAGTTTTATTAATTAGTTTCCCCAGCCTAAATGACAGCCTAACTGGCACTAAGCCTGTGTGCTTATTTGGGGGATTCAGGTCGAGATCGACCAGTTGTAGCAGTTTTTTCTTTTTGCTTAGCCTCTGTGCTCCTACCGTGTTCCTCGTGCCAGTTATGCGTTGTCTGAGTTTCATTAATTAGTTTCCCCAGCCTAACTGGCGCTAAGCCTGTGTGCTTATTTGGGGGATTCAGGTCGAGATCGACCAGTTGTAAGAGTTTTTTCTTTTTGCTTAGCCTCTGTGCTCCTACCGTGTTCCTCGTGCCAGTTATGCGTTGTCTGAGTTTTATTAATTAGTTTCCCCAGCCTAACTGGCACTAAGCCTGTGTGCTTATTTGGGGATTCAGGTCGAGATCGACCAGTTGTGAGCAGTTTTTTCTTTTTGTTTAGCCTCTGTGCTACTACCGTGTTCCATGTACCAGTTATGCGTTGTCTGAGTTTTATTAATTAGTTTCGCCAGAATAACTGGCAGCCTAACTGGCACTAAGCCTGCTTGCTTGAATGGGAGATTCAGGTCAAGAGCGACCATTTGTCGCACGAGTTTTATCTTTTTGTGAAAACTAGTTTACAAGTGTTGTACATTAGGTATTCACCAGTATTCACCTATTATTGTATTTACATAAATACTTTGTAGGGTTGGTTCTCGCCAAGCCGTCCCAAAATAAACTTATTTGCCATTACGTTTTGTCTGTTGATGTTGTGTAGTGGAGTCAAAATAGGTTTTAGTTTTTGATGTGAGAAAGTCTATGAAATGTTTCTCCTTCATTATAACTTACTTTTATAGTATCTTTCAAAACAAGATACGAAAAAAGGGTACATTTAAGATTTAGCCTCGCTTTCATACTTTTGGTCACATGATCACAATTTCCAGTTAAAAGTGTCTGTAATGCTAGAGTAAAGCTATTTTTACAATTTGGTGATGAAATATTGACACATAAGAGGGAATAAAGATGATTTAAGATGTAGCCTCATTTCCATGCTAATATCATATGTGACGTGTTTTAATCCCCCTTGAATTGTGCCGGTGCAGGTCACAAAGTTGCTGACAACATTTTTCATGTTCACTGTGGTCCCCTTAACATATTTAGACCGGTGGCTTGCTTTAAGCACTGACTTCTCACAGGACTTAATTTTACGACACTTGCTCCCTGACTATCTTGCAATTGGCTCGAGAAACACTAGTAAATTCTGCACAAGTGAGCTCTATCGCTAGTTTGGACTGAATATCTGGAGGGCTTTTTGATGTCAACTGTGATCACCTTGGGCTGCTAGTTTTTTTTATCTTTTCTGTAATTAATTTTAAAAAAATGGCTCGACATTACTTCTCAAAATAAATCAAATGTTTTATCAAAGGAACAAAATCAATTGATATGGTTCTATTAAGTTCGGTAATCAAACAAAGTCAAACTCTCACCAATCGAACTTTGATTGAGTTTGATTAGTTGGATGGTCAAAGTTGGCAAAAATGGGACGTTTTACAGGGAATATATTGCAAGAAAGCCTCCTGTGATGAACAGCAACAACAACAAAACATTAGACAGTTGAATTAGCTTTCCTCAAGTTTATTGAGTGCCGCATGACTTTGTAGTATTAAAGCTGACTCTACAGGCCAATAACAAATGTGGATCATAGACTATGTTTCAGTAACGTTACAGTCAAACTATTGTTCATTTCACTGGGCTTTTCAATGAATCTGCTGATTTTTTTGGCTGCTTTCCTGATTCCTGGCATTGACCAACAGTTTAGGACATTCAGTTAAGTTCAAACTGAGTTTGATCAAGTTCGGAAGTCTGAACTTAACTGCACTGTCACTTAAACCATTTGTGGTTGATTGTGTTCGATACTTGAACTGAATCAGACTGAATCATTCGATTGACTTCCATTAAGAGTTTTTTTTTTTCAGAACAGTTAGAGTGATGACATCAGGATAATGGTGAGAGAGACTCTGAAGACTTCACGTTGTTTACATTTGCAATGTTTTAATGTTCTGTTTCAGTTGTCATGCACAATGCAAGATCAGTTACCGGGCGAAAATTTGAAACAGTGACTCGTGTTTCGTTCAGAACCTGGAGTAATAGATCGAAAATTGGCTGTTATAGACATTGATTTAGCTAAATATTATGGAATTACATGAATAACGCTCATGGACATTTTAAACTGCTAGATTCTATTTCACTTACAGTACGAACCCAGTGTATTTTCGGGTTTTGTTGTGTGTTCCTACCCCGCGAGTATGAGGAGGATTGTGTGACAGGGCAAAACCAGGCTAGTGTAGGATTAGGCTTGCATTGCATGCTGGGTTTGAGGTCGGCCATCTTAAATAAACCTCGTGCTAGCTTGTGTTTACTCGAAGTCTCCTTTCTTCTTTGCCTCATACTACATGGTGGCAGCGGCCTTGACCCATCCAATGCCATAAAACAGAATGGGAGACCAACCTGAAGATGCTCCTGCAGTTGAAAATCCACCTCCACCTGTTAACTCTCTCCAGCTCCCGAGCAAGTTCGAAGGAGCGAACAACCCGCATCAAGCAGACATGTGGCCCAAATGGCTTCGACATTTTGAGCACTATCGGCTCGCTTATGGTCTTCAAAACAGATCAAACCAGGAACAAGTGGGAACATTTCTCTATGCAATGGGGGATTGTGCAGATGACATTATCAAAATGCTAAGCATAAACGAAGCAACTCCTTCCCTTGACAAAGTCAAAACAGCCCTCAATGGTTATTTTGCAGCCAACCGCAATGTTATCGTTGAACAAGCATGGTTCAATAGACGAAGACAAAACCCCAGTGAATCTGTGGACACCTTTATTCAAGACTTATACCACCTCGCCGAAAATTGTGAGTACGGAATTCTCAAGGACGAACTTATAAGAGACAGAATTATTGTTGGAGTCCTCAATGATATACTGTCCGACCGCCTACAAGCTAAAGCTGACCTCACTCTCACGGACGCTGCTTGCATGAGCAGACAAGCTGAAGCAAGAAAACAAAATCGAACCATAGTCCATGGGGTAGAGACTCAAAACGAAGTTGATTACGTTAGTAAGACACACTCTCACAACAAGCAACAAGCAACAAACAAACAACCTGTACATCCAGGAAAAAGAGAGCCCGCTAAGAACGACCGTCCATGTTTTTGGTGTGGACGCCAGAACCATGACAGGAAGTCTTGCCCAGCTAGAGACACTATTGGTAGTAACTGCAACAAAAAGGGACATATCCAGTCTGTCTGTCTCGGCTAGAAACCTTATCCAAGAAAGGTACAAGCAGTAGAAGAAGAAGAGGAGGAAGACATACACTTCCTCGGTGAGATTGGCAGTGACAAGAACTATTGGTCTGCACAGATAGGAGTGAATGGTCGTCCAACACGCTTCAAACTCGGGGGCGACAGTGACTGTTCTTAGTGATGATGTCCAGAGGCTACAGATGTTGAAGTAACCAAGACATCCCAGGTTCTGAGCAGTCCTGGAAACACTCAACTGCCTGTGAAAGGTCTGTTCTATGAGACACTAAAGTACAGACAATCAAAGTTAACTGAGCTTATATATGTGGTGCATAACCAGAAGTGTTCGTTACTCAGCAGGAGAGCCTGTGTTGAACTAGGGCTCGTGAGACATGCTAACAAAGATGTCGAAGAGGTGAACTCGGGGCTAACACATTTCCAAGCCAAATTTCCAGCGCTCTTCAGCGTACTGGGAAAGCTGAAGACTGAATGCCACATAACACTTCGCCCTGATGCTGTTCCTTTTTGTCTGTACAATCCAAGAAAGATCCCCCATTCACTGATTCCAAAGGTAAAAAGTCAGATGGAAGCAATGCTTCAGCAACTGAATGGTGTGCAGGTATCATCCCTGTCCTTAAACCAAATGGCAGTGTTCGTAACTGTGTTGACCTGACTCACCTTAACAAAGCATTCCAGCGCGAGATACACCAAATGCCTTCAGTAGATGAGAACCTTGGTAAACTGGGAGACAGTAAGATCTTCTCCAAACTCGACGCCAATAGTGGGTTTCGGCAGATTCCCCTGGATGAGGAATCAAAATTGCTCACCACCTTTGTCACACCATTTGGACGTTTTTGTTTTAACAGACTACCATTCGGTATCAGCTCCGTGCCAGAGATCTTCCAACACACTATGTCCAAGATACTTGAGGGTTCGGAAGGGACACTCTGTCAGATGGATGATGTCCTCATTCATGGGCTTCACTGCCTGCAAGAAGCTGGGTTGACCCTTAAAGACAAATGTGAGTTTTCACGATCTTCAATTCGATTCCTTGCTCACATCATTGATAGCTCTGGACTTCATGCAGACATGCAGACCCACAAAAGACCACTGCTGTGACCCAATTCCCAGTCCCTTCAGATGTCGCCGGGATACAGCGATTCATGGGGATGGTAAACCATCTTGGGAAATTCATTTCCCACCTGACTGACCTCAGTGACCCCCTTTGTCAATTACAACGCAAAGACAGTGTTTGGGTTTGGGGTGAAAACCAGCAAAAGGTCTTTGAGCAGATCAAGCAAACATTAGTATCACCGACAGTCCTGGCGCATTACAATCCAAACCGCCCAACGATCATTTCAGCAGATGCTTCCAACACAGGACTTGGTGCGGTATTATTTCAAGTTCAGGATGATGGACAGTGCCGTCCAGTGTGTTACGAGTCAAGATCTCTCAGTGACAGAGAAATGTTATGCCGTAATTGAAAAAGAAGCCCATGTGACAACATGGGCTTGTGAGAGGTTCTCTGCTTACTCGGCATCCCTTTCACCTTTCACCCTAGAAACAGATCACAAACCGCTTACTGTACCCCTGAATTCATCGGAGCTTATATCCTTCGTTTCCGCCTGAGACTTATGAGATATAACTATCAAGTTCAATACATACCAGGAAAACATCAAGTCATGGCAGATAAACTCTCACGTGCTCCTGTCAACCTGCCAGGGCTAGAAGATAAGCTACTTGTTGAAGAAGTAGAAGCCTTCTTAACTCAGGCAACTTCCTGTCTACCTGCCATGCTAAACCGACTACAGAGGATAAGAGATGCACAGAAGACAGATGAGGAATGCTCCCTCTTAAGATCGTATTGCCTTCAAGGATGGCCCCCTTACATGCCTCACCAGCTGTTACTACACCCATATTGGGAAAACAGAAGCCACCTTAAAATTGTTGATGACCTACTCCTGTATAATGATCGTATACTAATTCCAAGGAGTATGCAACTAAAAATCCTCGTCCGCATTCATACTGGTCACCTAGGTCTGACCAAGTGTAGATCCAGGGCACGCACTCCGCATGGTGGCCAGGACTCTCCACACAAATCAATGCGTTGATCACCCGATGACACAACAACCACGCCCAGAGAACCACTTATAACTCACCAAGTGAACTACTGATGGGAAGCTGTCTGCAAATGCAGCTACCAACTCATCCAGCCAACTTGTACCCTAATGTGAAGATAAAAGACCGCCAGTTGGTAGAAGAAAAGGAAAGCTCGTATCAGTTGAACCAAATAGAGCAACTTTGACAAGGGTCAAAGGAACTGCCAGCACTTGAACCAGGTGACCGAGTCTGGATAAGAGATCACTTTCGGTATAGCCTAGTGACAGAAAAAACAGGGAAACCCCGATTTTACCTTGTTACTACAGAAAGGGGCACACTCCAACAAAACCACTCTGCTTTAGTAGCTGCAGCAAAACCCGCTGAGACTGAACAACACTCAGCTATGCCAACTGGTGATGTCTATCCTGCCTCGCCAGTACATGTCACCCATGTATTGCCAGTGCCCAGCACTCTGCTAAGGCCTCAGACTGCGCAGGTGCCCCCATCACCACAGACAGCTGTGCCAATAGCTACCCTCGGAACAACACTGGAAGAGTGCGTACCTCTAAAAAGTCCAAGCCCCGCAGTCCTGACAACTCGGTCAGGAAGAACTGTGAGGCCTCCAGAACACTTGAGTCTTTAGTTGAACATTGAACTGTGTGTGCCTCAGTGCTTCACATGAACATTTTGATTTGTTGTTATTATTCCTCCTGTTGTTCGTTTGTTGTATTTTCATAGCTTTCCCTTTAGGGGGGATGTAGGATTAGGCTTGCATTGCATGCTGGGTTTTAGGTCGGCCATCTTAAATAAACCTCGTGCTAGCTTGTGTTTACTCAAAGTTTCCTTTCTTCTTCGCCTGATACTACAGCTAGCTATGACCGGAAATACGTCTGCATTTTGCAAGCTGGGTATACTTCTGCTTTTAACTTTTGTTGGGTTTCAGTTAGAATTAGTACAGGTGTAGTCTCACCAGTGAGAGGGTTAAGCTAACTTTCTCATCCTCAGTGTAAGAACCTGTTAACTCGCAGTGACGTAAACCAAACAAAACAAAGAAGTTAACACAATAGAATCTACAAAATCAAAGGGTGCTAAACAAATCTAAAGTTCACTGGTTCTTACACCGAGGTATACCAATAACTTTTCTCAGTCTAACCAGTTTTAGCTACGAACTGCCGCAAAAATGAGTGTTGAAATCATGGTGATCGTGATTGTGAAATTTGCTTTGGATTGAAGCATTTTTCCAGTGAAGCCATTGTTCTAGAATGACTAAGTTTCGTAACAATGATTTGTATTTCTCTCTGAATAAGTTGATCATTTTTAAGGCTAAAACTGCTGAAATTCGCTTTACTTTATGTTGAAAAAGATTATCTTGTGTCTGTATTCCTTCTCAGGTGACTTAAAACATGACTGAAACCGATTGGTTAATAATAGATGGTTTCCTTTGGTGTACCACATATATAAACCAACGCTGCCATGCATGTACGTAATGCTTAGAGTGAATGTACCTAATGCGTAGAGTGAACTCCATAGAATTAATGCCTCTGTTAACTTGATAAACTCAAGCCAAAGTTAACAATGACCTGTGACCAAATACAATTGCTATGGTGACTTGTCACGCAATCCACCTGCTGCCAAAGAACCGCTAACAGATAATAGGCCGATTTTTTTTTTAAATGAGTTCAATCAGTGCCATGTTTGCAACCCTTGGTACTAAGCAGCAAGCTCACGATTCACTAATTTCTTGTTTCAGAAGCAGAGCTCCTGCTCAAGGTTACAATAAATTGTAAGAATTAATTGTTATAAAAACAGTGATTTCTTCGCTGCAAGCTCCCGATTGATGACTCAATTACTTGTGGCAAATTATTTTATCATGTTCGCCAAAGGCAGTTGCGATAAAAACGGTCATTCCTTAGGTTCCGCAGGTTTCGTGGTTCTGCAGTCTGCAGTTCCGCAGATTAGTCTTACTCTCAAAAACAATACGCTGCAAATCTCTGCTACAATCCTGGACAAAACTACTTGAGAAAATGTTTTCATCAATAATATATTAACATGGACAAAACGGAAACCTACCAATAAAAAGCAGTTTACACAAGCTGTTTTGAGCACAAAGTTTCACGGCACACCATCTCCTCATAGAAAAGTACGACCTTATATACGTTTTTTGCTGCACCCTCTTGAAACAGTAAGATTTTGCAGTAGCCGTAGAACAAGTGGTCATTGTTACATGTTTTCGTGTTGTTCAAAGCTGGCAGGCTTGGAAAGTGTGGAAAGTGATTTATAGTTTTCAGAAGAGTCAGAACAAGACTTGGATGACGGTTTTCTTAGAAGAAAAGAAGCTTGAAGTGTTTATTTAGTGATGTATAGTGAAGCCAATATGGAAATGTATCCCGTCACATAGAAACTGCTTTTCAGATCTTAAAATTGGCTAACCTATGAGGGTTACAGAAACCTCGTTTGCTACAAGTCAGTTAACTTTTTATGATAATTCCATGGATAGAATAATGTTACTATTAACAAGGCATTGACACGGTTAACACCATTTCGTTTTTTAAAGTAAATGACCTTCTGATTCTCATGAAACGTCCTTGTTAATCATTGTTAACCGTTGCTTATCTTGGTTGCACCCTAAAAATATCCTGTTAATCGTTCCGAATCTTAGATATTGTGGAGAGAAAGAGATTAGAAGACAACTGTGGCAATTTCTCTTGCTTTATAATTAATGAATTTTATCTCATAATTTCTTCCAGTCATATGTAGCTATAAATAGCCCAAGGGCAAAACATGCACTCTTACAGATCACACAATAGCACATCTTGCCACATTACCACGCGTGACAATTCTAGATTTCATAGTGTGATTTTTTGCACTGGACATCGCTACAATAACAAAAGTAAGCTTTTAAATTCGGAAAGTAAAAATACAAGTTTTGTTAATATATTTCATCCCCTCTCCATTTGATGCTGTTCTTAATGGGAAGCACTTGTTCAGTGACTTTGATTGTTTTATCTATTTCGCCGATGGGAAAATTGTTCAAAGTATGCTGAAAATTCAACAAAAGTTTCATGTGTTATTTGTTGGTCGAATCATAGCAGGTGAAATTCCCCTGCGTTTTCTAACTAATCTCCTTGATGGAGACATCCTTCTCGTCCACCAAAAACGTAATGTATGCCTGCTCCTCTGCACTCAAAGCATGCGTAAAAACCCTGCATGGAAAATGAAATTCACAAACATTCACGATTGGCTACTTGAATCAACAAAGACAAACAAGTTGATTTCTTGTCATCAACTCCTCTGCTCTCACTTATTTTCCATTAATTATCTACTTTTCTGCGAAATGTACGAAATATATAAAGAACAGATTTATGTGCCCGCGTTAAATGCTCAAAATCGACTTTTCCAGTCAAATACAATCCTGGACAAAACTACTTGAGAAAATGTTTTCATTAAAGCTTACTACCTAATGCAACAAAACTATTTACAAATCAACGGCTTTGTGTAAAGAAAACCCCCTCCCCCAGTTCAAAGTTGCTTCCTACAAATGCTTAGGGATCTGGCTTTCTTTTCAAGACCCAAAAACACTGCTTCCAGGGGGAGGGGGGGGAGGGAAGAATTGGTCGGCTACGAAGTTTAGAAAAAATGCCCCACAAGTATGAAAATCTTCTCATCAGTTTTGTTCAAGATTGTACCATTATTTACTATTACAGTATTTGCTTCTAGATTTAAACAATTGGATTTAGTATTATCACTTTCTATATTTGTACAAGCTAATGAAAGAAAGTTCCCTGAGTCAATGTTGTCAACAGACGCAATTGTCTTTTTGTTTTTCATTGTTTTTGCCACCTTTTTCTGCTTGACAGGAGATAAATCTTTTCATCAGTGACTTCCTCTTAACAGGGGATTCCTTCCTCCACACAAATACTGATGGTAATGCCATGGTTTTCAGATCTCTCTTACACTTCGCAAAGGACAATTTGAAGTCGTCTCACTTAAAATGTCTGGAGCAAACTAATGTGTGTTTGGTAACTTGAAAATACTCGCCCACATCTCTTCGTATGGCCACTATCAATTTGTTAAACATTTTTTTCTTCTGGAAACTTCAAATATGAACTCTTGTGCCCACTTTCCACATAACCTTTTTTTCTACATTCTGGTACACAGCTGTTTTGAAGCATTTTCTAAATCTATAAGTACTGCGAAAATCATGAGATGGCCCTCGATGCCCTGCTTCGATGCAACTGGACCCAGTTTGACTGGGTAAGCCGCCATTTTAGAATTAGGTGTATAAAAGAAGTGTGTTAAGAGAATATTCATGATACAGGCTGTATGAAAGCTTGCAAGCATTCAAAAAGTACTGTTGCATGTTAAATATCTCCTTAGTAGACAATCATGAATAAGAGGACATCTGGAACATTTAATGCCATTATTTCTTTGCTTTGGTTAAAGTGATTGAGCAAGTGGCTTTAAATGTTATAAGTTTCAAAGACGTGGCCAAACATCAGTTCATGTCTTGCATTAAAAAGTATGGATTGAAACCAGCAAAGGAGGCTCAAAATGGGCGATTCCAGAAAATATCCATACCTATACCACGGATGACTTTTAGGATTTCCAAAGGGGAGGGGGGGTTCACGATTATGAAATTCTGGGGGCATGGAGGGTATTTATGACT